CAGAGACCCACACTGTCCAACTCAGACAGCAGACCCACACTGTCCAACCCAGACAGCAAAGACCCACACTGTCCAACTCAGACAGCAGACTCACAGTGTCCAACTCAGACAGAAGAGACCAACACTGTCCAGCTCAGACAGCAGAGACCCACGCTGTGCACGCTTTTTCAGCAACAGGGACGTAACATTACTCACTACAATACTTTCTCTAGCCCTTCCATGTCTTCACACTTTCTCTCGAAAACAGCAAACGACCACCACAACTACAACAAATGAAGGAATTTAATTGACGTTTTGGTAGTTATGAATGCTCTTTATAAAAAAACTGTAACTGAATGGCCTGAGATTAGGCAACGATTCTGGTTCAGATTCTGCGACAAAGATCGAAGTACTGACAGCTAGCAAGTTAGAAATGTACAAATATGATCTTTCCTAAGGGTAACCTACTGAGGGCAAACTCAAACAAGCACTGTAGTCAGTACAGAAACAGTAATCCTGCATTTAGAATATTTTAGAAAACATCTCAAGCACTCTCTGTTTCACTTTGTACTATAATTTTACCAGGTTGATAGGCAGCGTCTGCCCTTCTGCTGTGGTGGCCCAGGACTGAAGGAGAGCCCTCTAGTGTTCAGTACTGCACATCACTGTTTCAGAGACCAGGATACCAGGAAAGACTGTGATCCTAGAAAAACTCAGGGATGCCCTGGCAAAACTGCAGACCAGTGAGCTAAATCATGACTTTAATATTTGAAGATATTAGATTAATTTATTTATAATTATAAAAGGGTATGCATTGCAAACCCCTCAGGTGTCTTGATCTCTCCTTGAATGTTTTTTCTTTGCTTCTTACTCAAGCTGAGCCTTGGCGACATTCACAACACAAAGCTGTTACGGTGGGGCTGACCATTGGAGAGCACCATCGTAAGTCAGGAAAGATCGTTTATTTGTAATTTGTACGTGTAAAGTAATTTTAGGGTGATTACATTTAGCAAAAAAACTTTTAAGCACAATCCACTACGCACTACAATGGACAGTGCAGGACAGATCCAGAGTTTTTTAGCAGAAGCTGGAAGGTGGAATTCTGCTTATGTACAGTGTAAAAGAGTGCTGAACCGTGTGAGCAGGAATGTGATTTGAGAAACAGGCCCTCTCGCTCACAGGGGTCAGGGGTCAGGGGTCAGAGGAGGGAGGCTTAAGTTTATCAGCACAGTGAAGAGAACTTTAGTTTCCGGGGGTGACCCCTGTGCCCCTGCCCCTAGTAGAGTCCACAGCCTCGCAGGTTGTTAGCAATAATGACATCAGTCACGGCGTCAAAGACAAACTGGATGTTATTGGTGTCGGTGGCACATGTGATGTGGGAGTAGATCTCCTTGTTGGGGGATTTGTTCTTGCTCTCGTACTGCGACTGGATGTAGGCCACAGCGTCGGCAAACGTGTTCGGCCCTGGGAAGCCAGAAAGAAGGAGGGGGAGGAACACAAGAAGCAGAGAAAGGTTAAAGAGGCCTGTGAGGGTCACACCTGCCTGCAAAAGGTGCTGCGCTCCACTGTGTGCTACCTCATGTGTCCTGTTTATTTTACATCTCACCGAACAAGGTGATGTGCAATTTCTTTCAAAACAAGCGTAGTGATAACACCCAGACACAGCTTAACTACTGTCAACCGCCTCAAAGCAGAAGACCAGGGAGCTGTTTCCAGTTAATTAAGCTGCTCAGAGAATCCTCCTTATTACCAGCCAAGACAGTGGCAAGACAATGACAAACAGAAACAGAAAATACAGAAGGGCTTTTAGACATCTCTTAGGGGAAATTTGATAGGTAAATCTTTTTCGTCTGAGTTTCCTCATTTCCTTCCATTATACTCTTCTGCTGCAACTACCCTGACATGAAACTAATCCGGGATGCCTGGCTGTGGTGTTCACAGGAGTTTTTTAAGTCTGGCCCCTTGTGTGGTTTGTCAGTGCCCAGCATTTCGGGGTGGGCAAAGCGGAGCTCTGTGCCCACACACCTCTCTCTCCCCCCCTGCAGAGCCACCGCTCTGTACCTGTGTCACCCCTGCTCACGGGGTGAGCCGGTACACAGCAGGCAGGCCTTCTGTGCTGCTGAGGAAGCTGCTTAGATACTATCTTGCATACATCCCTATTATATCCCTACACATATGTAACTGTGATTGTACAGATGGACACCCTACCCTCCTGTACCTTTGCGTCTCAGCTAGGAGTCTCTACAATGCAGCTCTCCAGCTTGTAAACCTTTAGTGCAAAATCTGTTCCTTCTTATTCTTAATAAACTCTCCACTCGCATTGTGTTCCTGTTTCTCCCTCGTGATACCACTGCCTGAATCAATCTGGTTTATCTGATGGCCTGAGCATCTGTACTGAGACAGCAGATTGTCTGACTTTATCTCACATGCATCACCCCCTCTCATTGTCAGGGGAAAGCAGGGTATCACAGTAGCGAGAGAGAGAGAGAGAGAGAGAGATAATGGGTTCTGCAAGTGAGATTGTGCTAGTTTGTTGTAATAGAATACATCACAACAGAGTGGTCCCTGGATACTTTTTTAAATACAATTGACCATAAATCCCTATTAGCAGCTCTATGTCATGAACAGATAATAATCTACATAAATACTATTGTATTATTCATTGGATATTCAGATGGACATGATTCCCATTTGACTGTGTGAAAAAGTAATTGCTGATTCTTCTCTGCCCTCAGCTCTCGGGCCTCCTCTCTGGCAGTAAAACCTGCACTTAATGAATTACCTGCATATTCCGGGAAGCAGATAGTCAGAGAAGATTTCTTAATTTTTTCCTCAAAAATGTCCTTCTTGTTTAGAAAGAGGATGATGGAGGTGTCAGTGAACCATTTGTTGTTACAGATACTGTCAAATAGCTTCAGAGACTCGTGCATTCGGTTCTGTGGAAAGAGAAGAGACGATCTGTCAGCTGCCTTTGCCTGGTGCACCAAGAAGAAAAGCTCAGAAGCACAATATAAAGCACAGAAATGAAACATTCTCGTTCAAGCACTACTGTTGTCTGCATAATACTAGCAGCTACAGAGAACTGGGCATTGCCACTTCTAGTCTAAGAGTATCACAGAAAGCTAAGGTCATGCATCATGCCAGCAACAGGATGCTACTTCAACCCCATTCACTTGAAAATTATCCAATTTTTTGGCATCATGCATTTTTTCATTTCTTTGCAGGATACAATGAATGGTGCAAATTAACCAAGGACGTCTTGGATCCTTGAATTAATCCAGAGTTGGAAGCAGACACTTTAAGCACGAGTGACTTTGCCTTGTCCTCCAGAGTGGCGTGATTTAGAGATGAATTATATCGAAACGATTAGGTGAGGCAGCTGACATACAAAATAAACTACAGAAGTTAGCAAAACTTTTCAGCAGCAATAACGTTAGCTCACGAGAGAAAATAATAGCATCAGCTAGCCGCCAATAGAAGCCCATTGATTCATCATTCATGGACAAGAATAGTCACTGCTCTGTGATCAGAGGACATGCAGCAGGGGAGGAGTCTGGGGTTGGGACAAAAACACAGAGAAGAGACAAGAGAGGAGGAAATTTGGAAGGAACAATTAATAAAATGTGTTGTGCGTTTGCTCAATGTTGGTGAAGAGAAAGAGCGAGAGCAAATTCAAGGCAAAGTCACACAATAACAGTCACAGCCACAGAGAAACCTAATGAGTGCACGCACACCACAGTCACCAAGGTGCAAAGTGCTGCTTTCAACTCTTTGGAATTTTTTAAGAGAAGTTTCATACCTGCCGAAATTTTTGATGGTTCTGTCTCTCAAAATCAGTTCTGTTTTTATTTAAAGCATTGGGTTAGAAAAAGACGGCCGAAGACAGGAGTGAAGAGGCTCTTGGGAGACGTTTGGCCCGGGGGCCCGGGGCCGATTGCGCAGGAACCCTCCCCACACGGCGCGGGATAGCGGGACAGCAGGCAAGCCAGAGCGAAGACGCGCGACCAGCCGCCACGGGCGACCCGTCTCTCAGAAGAAACGTGGCCTCCAGCCCGGAGCGAGCGCACGCCCAGGCCGACGGCTCCACGAGCACACAGCAGGTCAGAAAGCAACACGGCAAGCTGAGCAACAGCACACGCGCGCGAGACGCCTCAGCTGCTGTGCTGCAGATGATCACATCTGGAAGTACTTAATACTTCAAATCACCAGCTGCTGAGTGTGACAAAGATAAATACAGAAGTAAAGAAAGAGATTCAGGAACATCGACAATGTGCAGGGGCTCCTCGCACAGGTCATGATTGGTGCTTTTCTGCACCCCTGAGCTCGGGTGTGGAAATACCACTGATGAGAAACGGAAGTACAAAAATAACACACAAAAAAAGACTGACGTTTGTTGCCAGATTTTTGGAGCATTGCTATTTGCTAGAAAAAAAAACGTGTTGCTTCTCATTAACATTTCAGAGCCTGAAAGGAGGAGATGGTGTGAATTTTCTGAAGAGCAGAATTACCCGTTGCGCACAAAACAGTCCGTTCCTACTTATGCACATCAGTGAGCACCCTATTTATCTGGTGAGCTCGAGGGTACAGTGTCATTCCTGTGTTCACTGTGCAAGAAAAGGATCCATTGTGCTGGACAGATTTCACAGTCCCAGTGCCAGCAGTACTGAGAGCCTCTAGCACAGTGTAGTACTGAGGGTCTCTAGCACAGTG